TTGCTGTGCTAATGCGGTATGGCAACCTGGACCGATGAATATATGTGCCTGGTCCTACGTTGTAGCTGAATGAATGAATGAATGAAATTATCAACAACTATCTAATGATAATTAACTGAAAATAAAACTTATTTTAAATAGTACGTAATTAAATAGGAATTTGTGTAAAACTTGATCGTTTTCTTTTTTTATCCATATAAGTGATGTGGGGGGGGGGTAAAGATAGTATTCAAAGACAGATTTTTATCAACTAAGCGACTAACTATATTGAAAATTAACATAATTCACCCCATCGCACAAGCAGGTGGCTATCAGGGCTCAGTAGCTAAGTGGAGAACGCGATGGCGTTTGAAGTGGACGGTACTGGGTTCGAGTCCTAGAGAGTGAACATCAACTCTGAGATGCAGGTACATCCAGCTGACGGGTCCTAAATAGGACGAAGTGACGTGCATCCTGGATTTCACTGCTGGCCACTATTCATCTTTGCTTCAAAAGTTTGTGACTGAAGGTTTTATCGATACAATACCCACAGGATGCACATATAACAACATGAGATTGATCAATTTCGGTCCTAAATAACAATCAGAAGATACAAGCAAAACAACACCAAGTGAATTTATAATTCATAGTTGGTCTGATGAATATGTATGACGATGAAGATAGATAAATCTGTAAACTGCGAAAAATAAGTACTATAAATGCAATGAATTAAGCATAGTACCTATGACAATCTCATAATTGATAACTATATATGAAGGTTATATCACAGATGGATGTTGGATAGAGAGCCATTGCAAACTAGAAATCACTAGACAGCTTTTTCGTCTTAATATGAGACTCAGCAGTAGCCATCTACAACTCCGTCAGAGATCGAACCCACGGCCTTCATGTCTCTTAGCGCATTTTTAACCTTCAGACCATTGAGTTCTCACTCAATAGCTTACATTTCCCACTTCAATCAATTCACGATATTGTTCAATCATCTTCCACTGTCATTGGTGGGTAACTGACACCACTAAAATCGTCAGATTTCAACCACCAACGTTGTAGGGGGGTTTGATTTATAAAATTATATACACCAGTTATCGTCATGAGTAAACACTGGAAGTTTTTAGTACATAAAATAATATTTATATGTTTTTCTTAGTTTCATTATGAGGTGGCTTTTAGGTTGTCAATCAGTAGGATGCACAGTCAAACCCGCTTCATCATATTCGATTTAGACTATCAGGTAGAATATTACTAACAATAATATTAGCTGAGTAAGTGAACTTTCAGTTGGTAAATGAGTTAAGTTATACATAAAAATACCTTATTGATAAATTCTGAGTCTTATAACTAGATCAACTCACACTTCATTGCAGCATTCTTGCCTCATCTATCAAACAAATACTCCAATAATATAAGCTAAAAGTATGTTTTTAAGATGATTTTCTAGGTAAACTGGAAGTATTTAGGTACAACTCTTTTTATTTGTATTCACTGATACTTACAGAGACGGAAAGACTTACCCAATCACAACTGCCTTACATATATACACACACATCTGTTAGTGGACATGGTCATAAACCTAGATATACTACTGATATATAATAAACATTTTGTTGCATGGCAGCACTGATGATATTCTAAAAATAAAACATCATTGTGTCAATGGATATTTTTAGTTCGCTCATCTGAAATTTGTTTCGAATCATTGTAAGGTCATAATGGCCATTCTAGGCAGACTTACAGGTTAATCAATAATATTTCTAAATGACCTGATAGCTGAATATAACATCGTCATGAAAAAGTTGTTGAATAAACAATCATTGTCATATGTTTACCCACATTCTATAATTAACTTTTGAGAAGTAGCAAGGACAGATTTTTTTAAAGCTTAGACCGTATAGAGCGAACTATAACCAGCCTAATTGTAATTGAGTTCAAGACAAAAACATTACTGTAAATGTGGGTATTTAAAGATGTTTAAATATTGATCGACTGTAAACAGGTATTTGTCTCAAAGATTCAAGAAATCAATGTGTAGTACTTTCTGTACTCATGATAGTCAATGAAAACCACCATAACTGAGACTATGACAAAATTAAATCAAATTGAAAATCATGGACGTGGCAGAACAATACACGCATCTAACCGATATTGTTCGAATATAGTCCTTACAAACTTTAGGTACTTCTTCGATATATCATTCAGTTATATCCCGTCATTAAAACAGATCCAAAAACGGAGTCAAATTCAGGTGAAGAAATACACCAGTGGTCAGGCATTTGTGCCCATCTTTCGAAACGGAGAATGAATATTTAATTTAAGCGTCCAGGTCCAGTTCAGGAACAAAGCTGGTTTTCTTGGATTCGCTATAACCGAGCTCCAGTCAGGAGTCAAATTATGAAAAGCTAATATTTCACGTGACATTAGTCGGATTGATTTTTCTGTGGTTATAAAAAGTTTACTCTTCCGTATAAACTGAGACGACCAGTCTAATAGATTTACCTCCAGCTCCTCAACTCAACTAATAACTCCATCAACCCTATTTTTATCACTTGATTACCCTTATCTCATAGACCATTGGAAATAAACTTTTAGTACAACCCAAAAACTTAGCATTTATTAAATAGCTAAAATTCAAAATGGTCCAAAATAACTAACACGTTTTATCACTATCTCAGTTTTCAGTAATATATAATCTTAATACTACGGAGAGGATTCCCTGGGGTACTGTGTATATTACAGGGCGATACGACAGGGTTCGAGAGAAAACCTGGGATCTGCTAACCATTAAAACTTCTAAATAAATATTTTAAAAAATGAAATTCAACTTATTAATGCCAGTTGCTTAAACAATCAAAGCGATCTAATCAGGTGACTGAAGTTAGGAATTTAAATCATTGGGTGCCGATTAAAAGTCTGAGGGTTAAGCGCTCGCCACAAGACCTGAATAAACTGGGTTCGATCCTTAGTGGGATCGTAGATGCGTGCTGTTGTGGTGTCTGACAGCAAAACGATAGATTTATTTACAGCTTCCTGGATTTCAATGGTTTTCTAACTAAAGTCAACTCATACATATATTCCATGAATTTATTCCTTCGCTTTCGGGACAAAGTGGCTTTTTACTATTATTAACACTAGAATTATTTATCTTGATAATATCCACTATGCTGACGTGAAGCATAGCAATCTAAACCGAAACATATTTATCAGCAGAAGTGATGAGGGAAGGTAATGATTTTGGAAAACAAGAGATTATGATCAAGGTAGAATAAGTGGTTGGACAGATCTTTATAGTATATATAGTTCTAGGTTTCTAGATGTATGTCAAATGTTTCTGCAATGCAAAGAGGACGAAAGCCCAGTCTTTGGCAAATTTTTATCTACCTTGTAGACGATTTTGAACGCTGCGTTTGTCATGATCGAACAAACCGTCTTCACATGCTAATCGATTATTGAGACGTTTACAGACACATTTTCTCCTTTATGTGGCCAAGCTATGAAATGCTCATAGATAGAATGAGCATTGAACTACATGCATAATTAGATTCATAAGAGCATGTAAACTGGTAATTAAGCACACACGTGGTAAGATCAAACAGCTTACCACTTAAACTTTTCCTGAACATCAGTTCGCTGAATACTACTAATCAATAAGTTTGTGAGTGAGAAATTATCCTCAGTATGATTGGAGGTTCGACGCCTTTAAAACTGATTTAAGGGATTTACTTCGATGGGGAATCTACTTGTAGTTTTAGATGTCCAAATTTTATAATTTTGTCAATGAGTCATAGGGGATATCTATTTTGACAATGACTTTACTTATGATGTTCATATGTCAAATCAGTACTGAGAATCCTTCGAATTCGTACAGCAGGAGACAATGAGATCCCCCACCTGCTTACCATTAAAGACGTACATGTTGCACATTTATAAAAAATCAGAACTATACATAAAAGGAACGTATTCAATCTCTTATCCAATTACGGATTTAATTGCTCGTTTCCCAAGGTCAACCTCCTCCTCATATCTCCTTTCTATTGGCTTTTTACTCCGTAGTGACGTATTTCTGCCTCCACATATTCTATGATCATACTTATTTCAAACTTATTATTTTGTTTTATCGCGCTAACCAACCCTTCTTCACAATTATTTATCTTTATCTATTTTCTCGATGAATTTACAAGGTCTCAACAACTACATTTCCAGTTTCTCAGTAAGAATAACATATCAGTATTTCTGCTTATTCCATCTCTCCATTATCATGTTTAGCAAATTTATTACCATAACCATCATTCTTATTAACAGTTATATTCATTATCATTCTGAAAAAAAACGAGTATATATTTTTGATATGAAGCTTTGAAAAATGAATTCGCCAAAGAGAGAACTCTACTGAAACAAATTTCATTTACATCTATATTTGTGCCAGTATCTATGTTATGACTGATTAGAATTATAATGTACTTTGATTAACAATAAAGAAAAATTAAACAGGTGAATTCTATACTTTACTTTTAAAAAATGAAATAAGATGAATCACGGCTCGGATAGCTCAGTGGTAACGTCTCTGACTGTGAAGCTGGGTGACACGAGATCGAATCCGCCAGGGAGCACCAGTTCCCTCAAGATTACAGGTACACCTTGCTGACGAGTGCCAAGTAGCACGAAACCCGGGTCCAGGGTTTCCTGTTGACTACCTCCAACCACCATCTAATCTCATTACATAGTGCCCGCAGTGTCGAGTCACCTAGACTGGTGGCCACATTGCAACATGATCGATAGCATTCGATCTGCACTAATAAGGACTAGACAAGCATGAGATTGATCACCACCCAGTGATCAATCAATTGTGAATCACTTAACACATAGTATGAATGTCGCACTTAAACGGTAACTACTGCATAGTATGCTTATAGTAATGACAATACAATTCCCTCAGTTAGCACTTCAATTATAAGACAATATTGATTACTTCAGTCGTCCCACCTCCTTAGAATAATCAGATAAATAAGGAACAAAGATGTAAGAACACGATGATAATAATGTGTTACATATGGCTATTGTTATTTTTATCATTAACCAGTCTAATGAAATCGGAAATAAAAAGTAAATTTAAGATATTAAAAAAACAACACAGGAATTCGACCATAAGGAATGCGAAAAGGTAGCGCGCACACACATAGCATATATATGTGATTAGAAGCGAACCCATACACACAAACGATCAGACATAAAAACTAAATTATATTTCTGTTTTGAATTGAGACTACGATTTGGACACAATTTATTCGATTCAATTTTATTATCGATAAGTTGTTATGATAATACTGCTAACAATGTGAATAGTAATGATAATAATAATGATCGGAGAATCTGTAGTGTGATGTAGTGAATATATGTATATATGGAGAGAGAGGAATGAGTTAAATGATGACGGCAGATGAATAAACACTGACATGCTCCACATATATAATACAATAATGACGGAGTCTAATTAGCATACATAAAAAATTAACGCTTTTTTACCAGAGAAAAAAAGGTGAATAATTTAACAATAGTCAAGTGAATTAATTACATTAACCAATAATGATAAGAATCAGATTGCAAGGTAAAGCATACCTACACATTAGACACCTAAAAAACTGATCATGAAAGTAAAAACATTCAAAATGAATATTAAACAGCATACACAGACACACATACATTATCATCATCATCATTATGAGAGAAATACGCTAGACTAGAACATATAGCGTACCGTACACATTGTAATGATCTGTATTGGGAAACACTAAGTAGTGACATTCACAAAAAGAAATGTATTTATCTCACTTTTATTACACGAGCTATAAACACAAACACAAACACACACACACACCAATGAATGAGATGTATAGTATGCTTTTTGTCATTTACAACAGAGATCCAATTCAAATAGTTTCGTATTTGTAGTTATGTGATTTTGTTAATCAGAATTGTCTAACAAACAAACAAACAAACAAAAGATTAGTTGTTATAACAAATGATTAAATCGAAAGTTTATATCATTGGGAAAGTGGACCGGAAAATAAACTCAAGAAAAATATCTCTCATTAAAAAAAAAGTAAATAGAAACTAATCATTAAAATAAAAACAAAAGGATAATAATCCAGTTAAGAATTACAATATACGCCTAGGATTTTGTAAATTTTGAAAAGGAGTCAAAGTAATAGTATTTTCAAGTCAATTTGTAAATAGATTGAATAGATTAAAAGAGAGAGAGAAAGAGGTAATTAGTTCAGCATTATAGAGATAGGTCATTTCAAGATTCATACATATACAGATCGACAGAGATAGAGAGAATTACTGAAATAGTCATAAATTATAAATTGGATCTTTTTCAACATTGAAAAAATACAACAAGAATATTATGTAATAATTCTCTCGGAATGTTACTCAATGATTGTCACATAGATTGATCTAAAAAGGAAATGAGATTTCTTTTTCTTGTAATGAAAAGCAATTATAGTTTTACAAAATTCAACACACACACATACATTGTTGAAGTGGTTCACATACTCCAACTGTATTGAAAGAGTGAAATATGAGTTGACTGATGCTGATTAAAATAACTGATTTGGACGTATTATATTCAGAGATTTATTATTATTATTATTATCGATGAAATTAACGGGGAAAGAAGGAACACACGTGTATAATAAACGGAAACCGCTAATGATTATGACGATGTTGATGACAATGAGATAACAATAATAAGTGAAATTGATAAATTTCTAAAGAAAACTACTACTACTACTACTAAAGAGGAAAAATACAATGAGAGAAAAACAGAAAATAAAATGCTGTATCATTGAAATCTACTTCGCTCCTTCTCTCCTACACACACACACACACACACACACACACACTATTCAAATGTCATAATGGGTCTTAAATTAAGTATTTTTTAAAAAGGAGAATAGCATCTATCACCGACAATGAAATCAAAATTATTCAATAAAGAAAGCATGGTATCATTGTAATATTTTTCTCTTTCTATCTATTCAGAAAGGATTAAAATTGGGCAATGGATAACGAGTAGTAGAATCATTAGTATGACCAAGTTGTCCAACTACTCCATTCTGTAAACCAAAAAAATGAGAGAGAAAAAGGAAACAGAAATTCAGAATTCTGGACATAGTAAATGTTTAATCGTAATAGAAGTGTTGAACAAATTTATTATACAACACAACAAATTACAGAACGAACAAGAAATAATTTTTCTAAACAATCCTCCCATTTGGAAATGCTTATATCTTTTGTTTATATCATAACAAAAGGTATGAGGTTACAACTCAAAATACTTAGAATTTCTTTTCGGATTATCTACTCATTTAAAACAAAGAGCGATTTTCAGTAGCACAACTTTAACTGACAGACATTTATTATCAGTGTGAAAATCTTTCTCAGAGAAAAAAAACTACAAAATGTTTTGATTATTACATACAACTTTCACACAGAATGTTGTTTACTACTATTGAACAGGAGATATTTGTGAGTCGGGAAAGAAGTACAAAGTAAAAATACATACGAAAGTGATCACTTACGAAAATCGATGCCATGCAGAAGCTGTGATCAGTAAGATCGTCAACAATAATCCAGTGTTGTTTGGGGAAAAAATTCATTTTAGAATAGAGTGAATCAGAAAATGTTAACTGCTTACACATTTTCAGAAGCAATATCATTCACCTTCGTCGTATACTCTTCCTAAATTTACATCTAGGCCAAATTTATTAAGCGTAAGCAACTACTAGTGTTAATAGTTTGGCTTATCGATTTTATCATTGGTCTTCCATCTACAGCGAATCATAATGAAAATAGAGAGCCTGGCACAAATATGTATCAGTTCAAGTTCCCAAAATACAACAACACAGAATATATATAAAACAGATAATCATAAAGGAAATATCAATTTGATGTAACTTACAAAAAACTATTAGTAATTTTACGCTGAATAGTAAATATTTCATTACACGTTAATCACATTGTTAGTACTATAGGGAGTTCTAAATATTCCACGATCTGGACAGGGTCAAACTAGAATACGATGACTGATCCATTTTCAACTAATCAGTGCTAGAGGACAAGCCTCGATTACATTAGCAACTAAGGATTTAAATATGATGTTAACTGATATCTGATGACCAGTTATTATGAATATATTACCATATACTACTTAGGCAAAATTTCTCTGAATCACTTAATACATTTGTTTGAACTTGAAACCACGTGGCTAGTACGCAAATGTCTTGAGCAGTAAATAGGAATAGTAAATAGTTTGAATTGTTTGAACGTAATAGTATAGCCCCCAAATGCCCTGGTACGGCCGAGAGTGGGGAGAGTCCGCTCTCCCTCTCCAAATGCTTTCACATGGCCACGCGTATATAGCCTCTGCCAGGGAAGTCCTACTCACCGCCTTCTCGCACCAGGGGTGTTGTTTACAAAATCAAGAGAACGAAAAGCGAATGTCCGGTGCTTTAACTAAGTTGGTGTTCCGTACGGAGGGTCAACCTAGGGGAGTTGGAAAACCCTGATTTCAAACCAATGGTGCACATGGGCCCCAGGATCGTGAAGGAACAAATGGCGTATGAACCAATTGTTGGTCACCGGCTACCATGGGACTGCATCTCCTTACGACCCTCCACTGCCTTGTGGATCAGACCTTCATATCGAAGGCTCCGAGTGTGGCCTCCTAAGAAAACTACCTGCTTCGGTTTGGGCACCCAGGCAGTATCACAGCCCTCACACATATCAAATGAGGTCTGTGTGGCGCATATGTATTTGGTGCATTCTTGTACCAATATCTATGTGTTAAAATAAATAAATAGTATATTAGTATGATGTACACAAATAACACTAAAAACGGATTTAACGTGTTAAACACAAAAATGCCTAGATGAAATATGACATATTCGAAATATGAATCACTTACCACGGGATTATTCATTTTTGTAGGAAAGTTATTAGCTGGGTGCATGGTGGGTGAAAAAGAACTAGCAGTTACTTGTGAATGATAATGGGCAGATGTAGAGTTCGCCAAGTTAGAAAATGGATTTGCATTAAATGACTGCTGGGCATTTGAGAGGAATGGGTTTTTACTTTCTGGATTAGATAGACTCAAAGTTTCAGGAAACTGACTGATACTTGAAGGTACTGTCATAATGGGATAACTTGTGAATGGATTAGTAAATCTGTTAAAAGCTGGAGGATTTGGAACTCCAACTGTTGGATTGGCAAAGGGATTGAGTGATTGTAAACTATCCTTGAAAGATGTATTCGCAGACCATCCATGTGTTGTTTCGACAACAGGATTATTGGAATAAGAAATATGAGGTGAGAATGGGGTGACCCATTGACTGGCTGATACAATAGACACATTGGTTTTGGGTAATGTAATATCATTTGTACCTTTTTCCATTATTTCTGGATTCATTGATTTAAGTCCGGTATTTTTAAATAAACCATCCAATTCTGCAAGTGCGGCATACTTATCTCCACCACTTGGACCAGGGAAACTAGACATTGTATTTATCGATGAACTTGAGAAAATATTCGATATAGTAGGATTTATGTTAGAAGGGAATGATTTAACTGTTGAATTATTTATAGAAGTAAGGACATTAGGACAGAAATTCGCGAAGAGATCAGACTTCGTAGTAGTAGTTGTTGTTGTTGTGGTAGTGGTGGTAACAGCAATAGTATTTGAAGAGGAAGAAGTTGGAGTGGAAAAAGAAGCGAATGGATCAGCGGTCGCTTTGTTAAATGCATCCTGTTTTTGACTAAAGGTGAAATGATTCGTGACAGATTGTTGTGGTATCTAAAATTAATGATAAGATTTCATAAATCGAGAGAAAAACAGTCTGCAAAAGAACACAATGGCACAAATAGTATAAACAAAAAACATCGTAAACCATTCTTGAATTTAGAATGAGAACACTTCAGTTTTAGATTACTGAGAATATTCGGTGACTTTTTTGTTCGATCATTGTTATCTTCGATGGATTGCAGAAATATGTGAAACAACTGTTTCCTTTGTATCGTCTAAACTTGCATTAATTTATTTCTGTTATTTATTTACTCTGAAGTGGCTTGCATTAAGTCACGAAACGTCAGAAATATAAGTTTCGACTCATTGGGATATAACAAAAAATGTTTATTTATTATTACCTTTCCTGATTGCATTTCCAACTGAACTTGCTCCCCGTAATAAACCACTTGTTTACTTGTTATAACTGCGGATGCAATTGTTTACTTGCCCCCTGAACAAGGGCTGATACTACTCGACGTAAGAAAGAAGATAAAATTATAGACAAAGAGTTTATTATACAGCAACCACAAATCCCCGGCTGACCAACCACTAATTCAAAAACTGTATCGAAGGTATACTGAATTATGTATTATTTACTTACCTAGTCAATAGGTTTATTCAAATATATCGAACTAAGTAGTAGTTGATGCAAGTTAATCAATAATTTAGTGTATGTATGGAATTCGCAACGCCAATTAACTTAACTGAACTAACTAACAATATAATAAATTACTGAGTTGAATATTTGCTTTGTATTGATACATGGTATTCCTACTAGGTGTTAACAATCCTTCAGAAACAACGATGATTCAACATAGAGACGTCACCGAATATCCTCAAATTAAAAGTGAGAAGTTTTTCTCCACATAACAGATTCACACCATCACTACCCAGTTCTATTATAGCTGTTTTCAAAATGTCATCAATGAAAGAGTTGAGGAGAAAAGATGAGGCTGAATAACCCTGTCTAGCATCCAGCTACGTTAAGATTATCTTGACATCAGAACAGATGGCTTCATAAAGACCACTGGTAATCACGTTTATAACTTCGCTAACCAGTTACACGGTTACATATTGATCACAATTAAATATTAAAAATCCGTTAAACTGCACACCTATAAATATATTCGCTACTCATTATGAAGGCAGTTAGGAATATATAAAGCGGTATAATCGGTTACATATTAAAACTAACCAAGCTGTCTCCATTGACATTACTAACTTGTGTTGTCCCGCTGGTTAGATTGCTTTGGGAAGGAAGATTAGTACTTGAACGAGTAGGCAGAACAATAAGTCCAGCAGCTGCATTACCACATGTATTACGTTGGCCTTTCTGATTCATGTTTTTCTCTGACTGCTCAAGAAGTTCTCGATTTTCTTTCAAAGCTTCAGATTCTATCTGTGACGTTGGTTCGCGATACCTAAAAGGAATAAGATCATTAAATTACTGATCCATACATGCACTGTGGGCGATAATCTGTTTAGAATTGACAAACATTTGTAACAAACCGAGATATCAACAATAAAACTTAGTTGGACTACAACATTTACAAACCAAATATTGATTCATGGAGAAATGTAATAATATAGCAGTACGTAGGAAATTCGAATAACAGAGAAGGCTGAATGACACTATGTTTTATCCGACTGTACTAATGGGACATGGCAACTTGAACCGGTAGGAGCACATGTGTCCAAGGACCTACGTCGACTATGGCTGACCGATTCCTGCTACGTGACCGGGGTATATCAACGCAATAGTTAGCGATACATAACGTAATTGGTGCACGCAAAAGCGATCGCAATCCAATTACAACTCAAAACTCTTGACGCAGGTGGCAACTATTAAGAAGACAAAGCGTGCACTGCAAAGAATATACAGTAGAGGAAAATACTTAAACCTGTTAACTCTCATGGGGCATAGGCCGCCATCCAGGAGGTAAAAATGCCAGCCCTTTATATACAAATTCACTTTGTAACGATTGTCAATAATTAGGACTTAAATGAATATCATATCGAATGAATATATAGCAGAAACTGTCGGGATACACTTGAATACCATATTGAAATAATCAATAGCTGAAATTATCAGAATACAATCAAATGTTATAATAGGCGATTATCATACTGATTTAATCAATAATCATGCGTTCCTTACCAATAAAACACCGACTATGTGGTAGAAAAAGTATTGTTCGACTAGTATGCCATACTCAGTGTGATACTCTACTCGCCTATGACTAGTTACTGATCATAAAAGCTTAAGAGACCCAGGATACATTAGTGGATAAAAAGTTTCCAAATGTTTCTACATATTACGCCTAATAATACTAGCCAGATCTTTAAACTGTAGTGGCTCGAAAGTGCGTATTTTAGTTACTAAGCTACTGTACTAATACCAGTAGGTTAGAAGTAAAGTTCTTTCCATGAAATAATTACCATACTGGACATCGATGACTTCTTAATTTTAGGAGTCAGAAATATTGAATCCGAAGTAACATATACTTTTCCAGTGCATTTTCATTATCGGTGGACTTTGGAGTGCAGATACAATCCTATAATATATCTTAAAAAGTTACCATGAACTCAGCTAAGTCAGCAAGATAGATCAAAGTATAAACAGCTTATTGAGCAGTTTCAGTTGATACACTTCAATTAGTTTATTTCCAGGCACTCGACGTACAAATAAACTCTCAGTATGTGGGGAATCGGTGAGCGTCATGTAGTTATGTGAAGGCATACTAATTAAATCGTTAAAACTTGAAATTAATCTCAGCTGCGGTGTCTTTTAATACGTTTTTGGTAAAATTCACTCCTAATCACTGACAATTTCCTTTTTCGTGGTTAGCGTCAGGAATTTCAAGTTCGTAAAAGCAATTCTCTTGTTTTTTAAGCTTTAAACGTGAAATCAAATAATTTAAATATCGCACTAAACGTTAAATTAGAAATCTGACTTAATTAGCTCAAACGCTGTAACCTGAAACTGACCACTTCTTGGCTTGTCACCCAGTCTCAACGTCGAGAAGTAACGTGCGGAATGGGAGCAGCATCTGCAAAATTTGTTCAAGCAATCGAAACCGATAGTTGTTGAAAGTCGTTACATTATATTCAACCCACTGAATCTTCTATTACTTATCTGCTGTAATTTATATATTTAACCCACTATGTAAAAGTATGTATGAGTCCGATTAAACGTATGTCTGCACCTCAATATTCATCTATCCTCCCACTGGTTGAAAACGCAGACAATCAGAAACTTACAACTGATTAAGACTCATAAAATAAATATAGATATTTCGACTTTTTATTTGTACACCCATTCTCTGATGTGCTTGCTTGTGGATTTAATTAATAATCAACAAAAGACTCATGAACTGGTGTTTTAGCTTTGGAACATTCTTAGGTAAATTCATAGTACTATTAAGAGAATTGGCCTGCTAAAATACTCAATTAACGGGACATCACATGTTGGAGTCAAATGGAAAGAAACTAACCCTTAAAACAGTTTGTACAGTTAGAAAGTGAACACTGAATGCGAAAGATATGTGTTTTTAATTCGACTGTCGATGCTTTTGGACTTTTGTCGAAATGTATTATTATCCGTGGGTAGGAAAAATTGTAATCAAGTGTAGCGTTAAGTAAGTCAGTCGCAAAATAGAACCTGGTATGTAAGTGCATCGGTTAAAGATGCCATACTCCATTAGCACCCGGGCAGTATCAAAGCTCACACACAAATCAAGTGACTTGTGTGGTGCATATGTATTCGGTACCCCTTTGTACCAATATTTGTGTTCAAATAAATAAATTAGCACAACAATAGGTCATCGTCAGGCTAAATCCCACAGTATTAGTGGCAATAGGAAAGATGAGGGGTCGAAGATACGATTTAAGAAAACATAAATTAGTGAAGTAAAAACAGAAAATAATGCGAGCAACTCAGCTGATGATTTGGGAGAAGGTATAGAATGAATCCACTTGCGCCACCGCAAACAATTCTGAGCCATGTCACTCAAAGTCTCTAACCAATAGTTAGGATAATCACCTGGACCCCAGCTAGTCTACATTTATTGACATAGCTCAATGAGTTTATGGACAGATGCGATGGAAAGCCCACCAGCTCCGTTAAGTAAACGACGTATCTGACCTGATTAATTTATGAATTCACACAACAGTTTAAATTTATGTGATTTATGAACATCAGCAACTTTTTGTTAGGCCAAAATATCTATTTTTCAGAGCTGATACTGATCAAAGACATGCAATTCTAGGGGAAAAGTTTGGCAGTTGGTATTTGTTTTCTGAATATAGGATCCCAAGTATAATACAAGCATTTATCTATCCCTAGACTCGTTTTCGGAATAATATATTCCTTCGCCGTCTGATCGTCTAGTTTTCAAAGCAAGCTTTACAGCTTTCAGCAACAAATATAATGTAAAAATTATAATTAAATTATTCGTAAGCAAAGAACATGAGCGTCTTAAGGACTGAATCATACCACATCAAACCGAACACTACGCTCATTCGCCAAGTACTCATCTATGAACGATGCCCCAAGTGTAGACTAATGGTACTATTCAGTCGCCCAAACTGAAGCAGAGGGTGGGGCCCGAACCCAGGACTTAATGGTCGAAATTCGAATGGTCTATCCACTAAGCCGACGTTCAACAAACTGGCGTTATCACTGAGTTATTAGGACAGCTAAGAACAAAACAGTTGAATATAACTCAACCAGCAAAAAAATTCCTTTTTACCTGGAAAACTAGTACAAACTCTACGGATATTTCCAAGAAAACTGACACGCTGAATGACATCGAGCTGTCTCATCAGCAAAATGCATGCAATTATGATAACCAGAAAGGTAACACTCGCACAATTTGAGTCACAGTTTTACTCACTAATATTTCAAAGGTGTATTATTCTTTTGCAAAATAAATATGACGTTAATGTAACGATTTGACGTGTCGGAATTTAATAGGAAACGTATCTAATCAATTTGAGTATTAGAGAAGCATAGTATACGTACAAAACTAGGTATGCAAAGTATGTGATAGAATACATCCAAAGATTACTTCGTAATTTCTGCACTGATCTGTGATTATAATACGCGAAAGTTCATTCTATGTTGTTTCATGGTTATAAAACAGCCTATGAATGGACAAAACAGGAATAACCTAGTAGTGTCCAATCACAAATGTCCTTGAAGTATAGCTCAATCATGGTGAGACCTTGCAGTGAGCAGTACTGAGGTTAATAATAAATTATCACATATAAATATTTATATCTCGTTGTGTATGAGTGACCGGCTGATAGAAACCATGGTTTAGTTCCTAAAGATTTAAATCACCAAAAACTGAGACAACCGAAGGGTGTCACATAAGCAAAACCATCACTTATCTTGTCATTTGCTAGTTAATACACAGGTAGGTTTTAAATCTAGAGTTAGTCAGATCTACACGACAAGCGACGAAACCGGTGATTATTGGTTCAAACTGTGTCTACGTCCGGATATAATTGTCATGCACTGATTTAAATATTTAGCCTGATGCTACTTTACATTAATTAAGGTGCTATCTCATCTCTTCGAACCATATTTTTGATATCCAGTTGTTTGTCATTACCCTATCTTTACCCTGATGAGAAATTGGACGGGTCCATATCTATTCACCCTTAAGTTATGACTGAAAAATCAGCCGATGTTTACGGGCAGGACTCAGGAACGTAAAATATTGGTGGCGGATTCAACCAGCTCTAGGTAATCCATAAGGTTCTGCTTGAAGTTAGCGTGGTAACTACACGAACACATACTGACTTCAAACCTTGTTCAAAATGGCTACTAAGGATGGAAATATTGATGGCACTACTGGTAGTGTTGAACGCAAAGCACTAAGTGAACGATGAAGGGCAACAAAGACAATGTCAAAAGAGGTACCGTAAACATTGGGTAGTGCCATGAACAGTGTTTATCCTTGCTGTGCGTGTTACTCTGAAGAATACAATAATGCTATCATCCACCAAAAACCTTAGCCTTTTTATGCAAACTTTCATAGTTTTCGTAGCTCGGCTACTCTCTTTTTGAAAGAAGAAACCAAAGCAATACACTCACCATTTTTGTAGCTGGTACTTCTGCCTTAAATAATTATCTAAAGCTCCATCTTTCAAGTCTTTCTCAGTCATGGTTTGGTCTTCGCTAAGAGCCAAATATATTTTTCGGCATGCCTATTTGAAATTATCCGTAGAAAACCACTGTACCTTGTTTCCACGAGTGCAAAGGAAGTCAATCTCTGATTGGGAAAAATTTGACATTGAAATTGATTTCACTCTGTGGTTATATTTTCTCCTAAACATAACAATATTATAAGGTTTGTGCTTACAGAGCACCACTGCATGTTGTACAAACAAAGGAACCAATTGTGATGTTTATGTACGTCGGGCCTCTTTGATGACAATCAAAACAGTACTTGTTTTCTCCATGAGTAACTAAAGTACGCAAAAACTGCAACGTAGGGTCCTGCATATCTTGACCGAGTCCGCCAAAAAGCTAGTTCATGAGTGGCGCGTTTAACGACACTGGGTACAAACGTCCCTAGTTGACCAAACTTATAGATACAAGAGCCAAGGTATTTATTTTAATTGCTTTCAAGCCAGCGGAATGAATTTTGTGAGATTTATGATACAATTCACCGAGAGGTTACCATAAGGTTTCAATCTCTATACGCGCGAAACAAAAATAGCGGTGGTATTTTTCCGCGTTGAGTAAATGTTTTAGCATTGTTTGTATCCGAGAGTGGAAAAGCTTTTTTATATTTCATAAAGGCGGATATTTTCAGTCACAGCAACATACAAATCTCAGACTTTTTTGTTCAGTGTCTATCACCATTAGAGCCTTAAATAAATGCTTATTCTAGAAATCAGTTTTTGTTTTTCTCTCTGTAAGACTACCTAACAATTTAAATGGCGCAAGCGAAACATCGTTTCGGTAGACTTGCATGTTTTTTTGGTCGAGGATAGAATGCGATGTGACAACTGCACTAAGTGGTATCACAACGTGTGCACCGGACTCATATCGGCTGCGTATAAAAGGTGCTGCAAGCCACCATAACGTTTGCTGATTCTTGCGGCTATCCAGCTAATAGCTAGAAAAGTGCCTTCAGATAAACAGCCAGTAGCAGATGATCACTCTTCAGTTTTCATGAAGGTAGCGAGCTTTATCATGAGTCCAGCTTTGGCTTTGAACAGAATAATCAAGGTAGACCCCAAAGTGTAGCGGATAGCAAACACAAATGCAGTTATAGTTACAATGGGAAAGAAGAAGTACACTGAGGAGAGGCAAATCATGGGCGGCACTAAGATATGTGAATCTTATAGGTGGCCGTCACAGTTTTTACGTCACCTCCAAGTCTTAGTGGGTGATAACACAGTAAATGAAGCAGTCCTAAAACAAGGATGAATACAAGCTCTCCCATGCAACGTCCAACACTGTTTGGATGCACAAGATCCTGAAACCTCATTATCTCATTTAGCGCGTATAGCCGACAGAATAATGGAAAGAGGTCCTCCAAATGGATCAGGCACAATAAATCAAACACAAAAAGTAGAATCAGCAAAAGACCCCGTCATAGAAGGACTCATCACGGGTGTTAAGAGTCTCACTCAGGCTGTCGCCAGAACGCAAATGGGTCATAGGAGCAGGAGCAGGTCACCACAACGACCACGATCCAAGTCACAAAACAGGTCACAAATTTCCAGACAATCTGGGCAGTTTTGTTGGTACCACTGGAAGTTTGGTGTCAACTCAACCAAATGCGTGCAACCATGCGCCTGGCCTAAACAAAATTCCAAGACAGCGGGAAACGAATAACCCCTCCCCAGGTCGCGACGACTGAGGAGGGGCACCTAAACAGTGGCTTGTTTTATGTTAGAGACAGAAACTCGGGCTTGAATTTCTTGGTGGATACTGGCGCTGCTCTTAGCATCATCCCTCAAAATAAAACTGAGATTAGTCGAGAAACATCATCAATTACACTTCAAGCTGCAAATAAAACTAAAATTGCGACATTTGGGCAGAAAAATTTAACCCTAGATTTGGGGTTCAGGAGGCAATTCTCTTGGGTTTTCACGGTAGCCGACCTAGATCTGGCAATACTCGGGATGGACTTTCTAGAGAGATACGAATTTCTAGTTGACACCAAGAAACGGCGTTTAACACTAAGAGAAACTTCGTATTACACAAAAGGCAAAGAAAGTCACATTAGATCTCTTAACTTGATTCGATCTCCTCCAATAACAACAGCGAAATTCCAAGACATACTCGCGGAATTTCCAAACTTAACTTGACCAAACCCACAGCCTTCTAAAGACAAACTAAAAGTAAGTCACACTATCAAACCCGAAGGTGCACCGGTGTTTGCAAAACCCAGGAGACTAGCATCAGATAAGCTCAAAATCGCTAGAGCCGAGTTTGATTATATGCAACAATTGGGTATTATCCGTCCCTCTGATAGTCAATGGGCATCCCCTTTGCATATGGTCCCAAAGAAGAATGAAGGTGACTGGCGACCGTGCGGGGATTACAGAGCCCTAAACCGTCAAACCGTACCAGATAGGTACCCAATACCTCATGTCAAAGATTTCACCAACGGTTTACAGGGTATGAACATATTCAATAAAACTGACTTAGTCAGGGCATATCACAATATCCCGGTGGCTGATGAAGATATCCCCGAGACAGCTATTACTACACCCTTTGACTTATTCCAATTTGTACGCATGCCATTCGGTCTGAGAAATGCGGCACAGACATTTCAAAGATTCATAGACAACCTACTTCGAGATATGCCATTCGCGCTGGGGTATATAGACGACTTGTTAATTGCCAGCCCCGATTCGCAATCACACGAACAGCATGTACGAGCAGTGTTGAAAAGACTGGATGAGCATGGAATAAACATACACCAAAGTAAGTGTGTTTTCGGTGTTCAAACTTTAGAATTTCTCGGTCACACAATAAGCCCAGAAGGGATTAAACCTATAAAAAAAGAAGTGGATACTATCAAACAATACCCCGTACCTAGTTCTCTAACACAACTGAGAAGTTTTCTAGGCCTAATTAACTTCTATCGCAGATTCATACCAGGTTGTGCACAATTAATGCAACCTTTGACAGATTCACTTAAAGGAAAACCAAAAGAATTCAAACTGTCTTCTGACGCCATCGAAGCTATTAAACAGCTTAAAGATAAACTGGCTGAAGCAACTACGTTGATATATCCGAATTCTCTTTCCCCACTTGCTTTGATGGTGGATGCTTCAGATAAAGCAGTAGGCGGTACCCTTAACCAACTGGTTAAAAACGCCTGGAAACCAATTGCTTTCTTCTCGAAAAGACTCGCTCCAGCCGAAACAAGGTATTCTACCTTCGGGCGAGAACTTCTTGCAATCTACCTGACCATTAAACACTTCCGACACATGTTAGAAGGCAGGGAATTTATAGACTTTACGGATCACAAACCACTAACGAATGCATTATTATTATTATTCGCAAACATCTTATGGGTACATAAGTGTTTTGAAGAAACTATTTCGGGTTTCTTCAGAAAATGCAATAATACACAATTTTCAATAATGTTAGCATTACACTTGCCGTATTTAAAAAAATTAGAGTAATAATAGTAGAACATTAATAGTAATAAATCGGGTCTGTGTAATTGAGAAGAACATTGAATTGAGTTTAAAGAAGTAAATGGAGAAAATAAGGGAATAGAAATAAAGGAGATGTGAAATACGCAAACAGTCTAATAGGCGTGTTTACGAACACAGAACAAGAATAAACGACTATGTGTGTATCGTTAAATTAGTAACAAAAATAATTAAGAAAAAATAACTTATTATTGTAGTAAGATATGACGCTAGAATAAATGTTTGTGCAGTTATAGTTTGGAGTGATGCTATGAAAGTCTCAATTGAGTGAAAAGGATAATGAAATATCAATATGTATGAGTCATGTATGCATAGTCAAGATTAAACGGGTCTGATAAGTTCATTTAAGTGTAATACAAGTTATTGTCTTAATTACAGACTTCATAATCTTAAGAATATTTATTTAGAGGGAAAGAAGAGAGAAAAGAAGTGAACACCTAGTGAAAAGTTTCATCCATGATAAGAATAATAATTGCGTAATGAATATCAACCTCAGAAGAAAACCAGCAATTGAGAAAAATAAAATAAAAATCCTTTAATGCACTCGGATGAATACATTTAGATTTATGTGATAGTATACAGAGTGAAACCGGATATTAATATAAATATTTGTGCAACGATAATTAAGATTGATGCTATGAAAGTCAAAATTGATTTCAAAGGACAATCTGGAGTTAAATATGTTTAGAAGGATAAGAAGAGATAAAAAGAATATCTAATTTGTCGGGGAACTAATAATGATATTAATAACAGTAATAATTATAGATACGATCATAAACAGACTTCATATTTTAAGATAAATAGAAATAAAATAGACGTGAAAAGATTTAAAGGTTTTGTTTCGCTTTTCAGGCAATTTAATGGATGACCGACCTTGTTTGTATAAATCATTATTGAATACATTGATATTCAATAGGTGAAATAATCCACTTTCGGAAAGAAAATCATCAAGGAGACTTTTGAACCGGGTTGTAGTTTCACTGCAACGGAGGTTTACTGGAAGTCTGTTCCACATGGTTGAGTAGCGAATAAGGAAGAAATTCTGACGTAAGTTTGTATGGGTTCTTGGAATCGCTAGAATATTCTCCTTATTGAGTAGATTGTGGGATGATATCATAAGGTATGAAGGGGTGGATACCGAAGAGTAGGAAATATTGTTAATAAGCCGATAGATAAAGACAAGATTTAATTTGATACGTCTGATCCAAAGAGGTTCTAAGTTGAGTTGTTGACATCTTTGGTGACAGTCTTTGTTATCGGAATACCCCAGAACAGCTTTGGTGAACTTTCTTTGAACACCTTCAATATTAATCAGGTCATTATGTCTACAATTACTGTAAACTAAAATATCATATTCAAGAATGGGTAAGACACATTTTCTGTATAATAACAATTTCGATTCGATATTATTAAAGTTTATCATTATCAATCCGATGAGCTTTCTAGCTTTGGATACTTGAGATATAATGTGCTCAGAAAAGTTCAGACTGTTGCTATATCTTAAACCCAGGTCACGAACAGTGTTGAGAGGTTTGAGTGTATGTGTGTGTACAGTCAGATTTAAGTTAAGGCAGCGACCAATGTGAATAAATCCACTGTTGCCAACATTAAGTGGCAAATTCCACGAAACAGCCCATTCATGTAATTTGTTTATTTCTTCTTGGATTACCGCTGAAATATAGCTTTCTTTCGTGGGAGAAGAGAATGAATAAACTATTTTCAGGTCATCAGCAAAAAGGACAGGCTTGCCATACTGAAAGAGGGAACACATATCATTGATAAAAAGGAGAAAGAATAATGGACCAACCATACTTCCTTGTATAACCCCACTGGTTACATTCACAGGTTTAGAGCAGCACGAT